ACAAATAATGCAATTGAGAGAAAAAGTCCGAGAAGTGGTGTTGTATGGGAATGTTTGATAATTGAAGGGTCACCGCAAATGTCATTATCGACTATTGAAAAAATCAATTTCTCCATTTTTCTTTTGCAATTGAGAAGAAAAATTTTGTTCTCATTTTTTTTAATATGCTACGCCGCATGCACTTTTGCATAAAGTGCCTGCGGCGATACTTTTCTACATAGCCGTATGCCATAGTGCATGCGGCTAAGACCTTTAAGACCAATTTTTTTTTTTTTTATGAAACCCTGAAGTAAAATAACTAAACCCCAGAGCCTAATTCTAAATTTATAAATCGTAAATCCTACTTTATAAAACCTAAACCCTAATTTATAAACCCTAAATCCAAGTTATAAATCTTAAACTCTAATTTATAAATCCTAAATCCAAATTCATAAATTTTAAATACTAATTTATAAAGCTGAAATCCTAATTCATAAAACTTGAACCTTAATTTATAAACCCTAATCGTAATTTATAAACCTTTAATCCAAATTGATGAATTGAAAACCCTAATTTATAAACCCTAAATCCAAATTTATAAATCTTAAATCTAATTTATAAAGTCTAAATCCTAATTTATAAACCCTAAATCCAAATTAATAAATTTTAAATACTAATTTATAAAGCTGAAATCCTAATTCATAAAACTTGAACCCTAATGTATAAACCCTAAATTGTAATTTAAAAACTCTTAATCCAAATTTATCAATCAAAAACCCTAATTTATAGAGACTTGAACCCTAATTTATAAACCCTAAATCCAAATTTATAAATCTTAAACTCTAATTTATAAAGTCAAAATCCTAATTTATAAACCCTAAATCCAAATTAATAAATCTTAAATACTAATTCATAAAGTTGAAATCCTAATTCATAAAACTTGAACCCTAATTTATAAACCCTAAATCGTTTAAAACAATGGATGCGGCATTTGAAAAAAAAAATTTTAAAAGGCGTTGCACTATTGATCACAAGTTGATCAACGGTGCTCAAATATAGCCGCATCCATTATTGGATGCCGCGATTGAAATTTTTTTTTTAATAAAGCTTTGCATTGTCCATGATAAAGCTTTGCACCGTCCATGTGCTCAATAGTAGCTCAAGAGTAGCCGCATCCAACAATGGATATTGCGGGGTCCCTTTTTTTTTTTTTTTTTTAATTTCTGCTATGCTTTGGATTGTTAGTTTAAAAAATTCGAAAACAAATTAAATTTATCTCTACACCGCAAATTTAATCAGCCCCGAAACATCCCCACTTTCCCTACAAACCAATTTTGGCACGATCTCTTATTTTCGTAATATTTACAGAAATTCGCCGATGTGTGTTTATATATATATATATATATGTGTGCGTGTGGGGTCGCGTTTATGTACATATATTATTGGCATCTTCCAGTTAAGCGCTATTGGTCCAACCAACTGAGCACTAGATCCTAACCTTTCATCTTTGTTGTGAATTTCAAAACAAACTTAAAGTTGTAGCAAATGATTAAGTGATCAATAAGCTTGAAGATTGCAGTATTTTGGTTGGACCCATATTTATCTCTTTTAATGCCTACCATCTGTAAAGATTTTATTACACGAATTCACCTATAAAATGTGATTGTAAAAATATTATATAACTAGATAATAAATATATATATGAGAAGTCTTACAAGTAAAGGTGTTTGTTAATTTTCAGTTTGTAACTATCGTATAAGTTATATATCATTTAATGCAGAATTTTCCTTCGTGATACATAAGTAATCGCGTGTGCAATACAGCTCGTTGCCTTTTCCGATTGGGTCGATGCTCCCCCTATACCATGTTATGGAACTTTACAGTCACACTAGTAGAGTTGAAAATAAACCCTTTTCAGCATATAGTGGGCTGTAGTTTGCACAAACACCATTCATCATTGGATGTAGAATTCTAGAAAAACTTTCATTACATGCTTTTTCAAGCCAACACCCCAAGTTTCATCCGAAATGACACATGGTCGGAATTAAAAGGGGTGGACCTCAATCTCATCTCTTCTAAATAGTGGAGTCTTTTGCTATTCGGATCTATACAAATAACAATAATAATAATTGCCAGAAGTCATACTTTAAACGTCTTTATCGATTATATGGCTATCAAGTTCATCATGCCTTGAAAGGAGTCTCCTATTTCTTTTCATTGAGGTCCATTCGTGGACGTCTTTGTATGTCTTGAATAGGTTGTGGATGCCAGCCCAATTACGATGAGTGTTGCGTAGCATATTCTTCTACAACCGAAAGTAGTATGAACCCTACTGAAGGATGCTGAGCTTCTTTACTTTATTTTATTTTCTTTCTTTCTTTCTTTTCTTTTTTTGGAAAATAGTTGGTTGGTCATTTAACAACATTTAGAAAGTAAAAAAAATAAAAAAAAATATTAGAAGAAATTGGAAGATTGTGAATTTTAAACGGATAAAAAGAATTTATGAAGTCTCTTGAAAGAAATCAAATTTCATATGGTAGGATTTTATTTTATTTTATTTTTACAATTCAGCTCTTTTTATATAGCGAAGTTTTTCTCAAATATGTTTCTGAAAGCTCCAAAAGTGTTCTCCAATTTACTTGTTTACTTTACAAGCATATTCTAAAAAATGGCACGACTGGAAAACTTTGATAAAAAGACCTGAAAATAATCATGAAAAGAGCGAAAATTTTTGGTTAAGAAGTCATTGATAATATTGTAAATTTGTATTTGGATCTTGGTACTATCTTTTACCAGAATTACTAAAAGTGTATAACTACTTTGCGTAGCAAACATATATATATATATATATATTTTTTTTTTTTTTTTTTGCCCTGTAGTAGGGTTCTTACCTGTTATATCTGTGTTCTGGCCCCATTCCATTTTCCGAAAGAAGATACCTATTAACGTACTAGTAAATTCTATCTACCTGCTATTTTTAGGTCGACATGATGGGGCATTCTGTCTTTTTCTTTTTTGGGATAGTTATAGTTTTCAAAGGACCCTTACCTTTCTTCATTAATTTTTGAGTAATTAAAGATCATACTTCAAACATTTAAGTAAGGAAAGAGTGGAATAATATTTAGGACTGAAAGTTGAATCAAACTACTCAATATTCAAATTGAGTTTAGTTTGATTAGAGCGCACTCGACCTTGGTTTGCCACTAGTTAAGCTAATCCTAAACAGCATTTTATATTCAATAATTTTCAAATTCGATAAAAGATTATTCAAACTCAGTTCGATAAAATAAATCAATCAATCTTAAACAAAATTTCAAATTCGTTAAAATAATTAAACAAGTATGAATACTAGGGTGTTCTTTGATTAGAGTCATTTTTACCCCTAATAATATTTCAATACGACAACAGTAACGTTATTTTAATGTTGATTTATACAATGTTTTTTTTTCCAATTGGATGCAGAAGAGCATACGATGAACACATTACAAAAGGATAGTAGATTTACTATTAATGCTTTAGAATTACCATTAAATGCCTGAATTGTAATACTTTTGTGAAAGATATCTATATTTTCGAGGGAAAAAAATAACACATGGCGAACTTCTTATTGCGTGCCCTGTGCCCACCAAATAGACAAACTCAGTATAAATACAGTGAACTAAAACCTGACCAAACTATCGATTTAAATCCTCATTTTGACGATAATATATAATAACAATGTTCCTTCTATGGAAATGACGCATTTTTCGTTCACATTTAGCGTTCGTTTGGGTTGTAGGGACTTATTAAAAGTATTTCACCTAATAAAATTTTTAATAAAAATATTTATTAAATGCTTAAATGTGTCATTTAGATGCATATTTGGACAAATGTTTATTTTGTTGGATAAGGTGCACAACTCTTAAATTTATGAAATAATTTTTACCAAATAGCTTAAAAGTATTTTTATTCCCCAAAAGTGCTTTTCCAGCAAAAGCACCGTACTCCCAAACAGACTCTTAGAAAGATAAAATTCATTGATAACAGTTTCCGCTCAAGAATCTTGAAGTCATGGGATTGATTAAAATTTGAAAATTATGCCTATATTGAATTGATTGGGTTTTAATCGTAGGTTAAATACCTTTATGAGCTATAAAGACGTTCTTTGAAATATTTCTGCAACCAGTTATAACCTTATTTCACCAATTACAAATCCTTTTTAATGTATCCATGTACAAGGTATGAACTCGAAATAATTTGGTCCAAACGCACATCACATGCATGGAGGCTCATGTGCTCTTTTCCAGAGGAATGTATTTTAATCTGTCATTAAAACATAAAAACTCATAATTTATTTTGTACTCTTTAACTTTTCTACTTATTGTTTCCATTTAATTTATTCATGTGTCATTCTTTCAGATCAGCTTGTACGATTAACCAACTCTGACCAAGATCTATTTGAACAGAATTGCCGGATCATCCTGTTTCGCCAAGTTGTTTGTTTTATAGATAATAATCATAAATATATTCGGAAAATTCTCTTGATTTCTTTAAGAAATTATTTTCTCAATTTTTTTATGCACTATCAATAGATATGCTAATGAATCTAAATGTATGTCACATGTACAAAATTTGGTGTTCCAATTCAAGTTAAGATGAGATGCCATACGTTTAGATCCGTTAGTGTACGCACTAATAATATAGAAAAAAATTAGTCCTTAAATAATTCGTCAAAAACACCTATTTCACCGTTTAACATTAAATCCCTTAAATTTGACTTAAAATATGATATTCAATAGAATTATAAATCTCCTTATTTTTTGTGCCATTTGCTAAGATTTTGTCAAGTGTACTAAGGTGACAAACAACTCAACAAAACGTGGAAGTACCGAAACCTGCGGCTTTGCAAGCTAGCCTAGCTCCCATCACACAAAGTTGCATATAAAGACTCGCTCATCTCCACGGAATTCTGCTACCTCACTCTCCCTCCTCCCCACCCCCAACCCACAAACACACACACACACACACAAATTCACTCCAAAAACAGTAGAAAACAAAAGCCACAATTTATAGTTACTCTTTTTTGTTTCCAATGTTATTATCCGAAAAGTGGAAATATCATCAATGAACGCCACCGCGACAACAGCCAAGGCCAATATGGCTAGGATTCTGATTATGATTGTCATGTTATCAAACTACCACCACCTATATTGTGTGGCCACGGCCACCAGTCCAATAAAGACGGTGGTGGTGCTAGTAATGGAGAACAGATCATTCGACCATATGTTAGGGTGGATGAAGAAGCTGAATCGAGAAATCAATGGAGTGGATGGCTCAGAATCGAATCCAATCTCGACAACTGATCCAAACTCTCCTCGCATTTCCTTCGGTAATCAATCCCACTTTGTAGACCCTGACCCCGGCCACTCTTTCCAGGCCATCCGTGAACAGATTTTCGGCTCCAACGACACCTCCGCCAATCCTCCGCCCATGGATGGCTTCGCCCAGCAAGCTCGTTCTATGGATCCCAACATGACTCAGAGTGTCATGAATGGCTTCGTACCAGACATGGTATGTTGGCTTTTCAGTCTTTTTCTTTCAAATTAAAAAAATGCTTTCGATGTCTACGTTATTGTCCTCCAGAGCTATTTTCCACTAAAATTTTTTTTTATGTTTTCAGTAAACATATTTTTTTAAACACTTTTTTCCGCAAACACATTTCTTGATTACCTTTTTACTTCATATATATCAAAATGTTACCGTATTTTTTTCTACAAAAACTCTAAAAAATAGCAACCTACACAAGTTTGCTTATATCTACTCAATTATTATGAATTGTGAATTATTGAATCCACTTTTTTTTTGATAGCTAAATATGTAATTGTGAGTGCTAGATAGGATACTGAAGTATGGAAAAATAAATTCCTAAAATAAAGTCACAAACACCTGTTTTTTATTTATTTTTGTGTCTTCGGTTGTGATGATTCTCTGGGATATTTATAGAGGGTAGATTTAATAAAATGGGTCGACCTCTAGTGTGAAGACAATTACAACTCAAAACTGCTGAAGACATATAGTCTGTTGTATGGTCCTACCAAGAATAATATCTTCGATAAAGACACAAATATAAATCTATCAATTAAATAGAATATTAATTTCATTAAAAGAAATTTGATAGACTAGTTCTTTACAAAAAAGATTTTTTGCTTTTAATGATTTGAAGATTAGTACCTCATAAAAATTAATTCTTTTATTAAGGGCCAAAACTTGGATAGACCTGGTTTTCATAAATCTAATGGTCCAGATTGTGTCACATCACTTGGTGAGATGATGTGGCATAATTTGGATCATTAGATTTTTGAAGGTCGGATTTACTCAAGTGTGAGCCATTGGATATCATTATATTGCAACTAGGTTAACCCAAATTTTTATGTAATTTAAGTTCCTGGTATAGAATAATGCCTACATGGTATCAACTTCGATCAATGCTTATGTCTTTCCACTTGTAAGAACCATATATATAATGTATTAACATCTCATCTCTCTCCACACCCTTTCTCCAATCTATCCTCAATCACATACACGATTCGAATCCTGAACTTGACGGCGAAAAGACCCATATTTGTTTATGTGATTCAAAGAATTTTATTCTAAGTTTTGCAATAAAGCGTAGGTGGAGTATACTTGTACAACTTAGGATATCCGCAATGGATTACATTTAATACAGTGTAATCCATATGCCACATTCCTCTTTCATTATACTATCTCTCACTCTCTCTCATCATAATATCTCTTACTATAGATTATACTCTATAGGGGTATAATAGTATGAATTGACAATCAAATCACATTTATTTTAATAATTCACAATACAAAAATTTGTATTCATCGATTAGGCATATCAAAAGTTTGAAGTTGCTTCGTGTACATGAACTTAATAGATTAAGGATTCTACTATTTGGTCGTCTAGGAGTAAACCTAAGAATTTGAACCGTAATTACTCTTTCAACAAAAAAGCAAGTTTCCTTCTATGAATCAAAGGTTAGTAATGGGTCGACCCTATTTTGTGGTGTATTTATGGCAACTCATTAGACTACCAAATAGAAAATACCTTCGATTATTTCTTTGATTTATATATTGTTCTTATAGAGTTCCATTCATGAGAAAATCTTTATAGCATGTTTCAGACACCATATAAAGGTACTCTAAACACAAAATACTGACTTCTCCTTAGCAGTTCAATGTGACATATGCTACCAAAAAGTACATAAGATTAGTCTTTATATACAAGAGAATTCATCTATAAGACAATAGTTGCATGACAGACACTTTATGAAACCACAACATTACAAACGATTTTAAAGAAATTGGGAGGCTGTTCACTTCGATGGCTACATCTAAAATTTTACAGATGATGTTAAATGAGATTAAGGGATTGATTTATATTAGAACACTATCAATATTTTATAGCCGTTTATTAACTCTCAATGTTACCGGTATAGGAATATATTCATGTGACATAAGCACAATATACCCTATCCAAAACAGAGTGAATGCGTCAGCTTTCTGGTTTCATTCTAACACTCCACATTTTACGTGTTAGACATAACAAACGTTAAGTAAACAGCCTAAGAGCATGAGGTCATCAAAGTTTTTTAATTTAGTTATCTATTTCTTTTAATTCAACACTTATTGATTGAAGATTTCTTAACATAACCCAAACTTTCCATTTTGATGTTTAAATTAATGTATAAAAATTCTTTGCTAGCTGTATATTTATGTACTGTCTAATTTGGCTAATAAAAGAGCTCGTGCAGATTAAAATATTTTACAGAAAATTCTCAAAGTTCAGGAAAAATGTGAATAAGAAATCCATTTCTTGAGAAAATGAAAATTCCTAGTAAACCTTACATGAAATGAGGAAAAAAAAGGGATTCACAGCCCGACAAGTTCAATTGAACTTGTTGCAAGATGAGATTGATTTTATGCCAAAAGTCGTGGCTTAGAATGGGAATTTGGGATTTAATCCATACCTGAAACAAGAAGTATGGAATGAACTTGCCAGGCTGCTTACCTGGGAAAAATTTTAAAAGCAATAGAAAGATTATGTCATCTACAAATTATTGAGTCACATTCTGATAATTTCAGTTTGTGATTTCAGTTTACCAGTGCAATATGGGTCCACTACTCATGTACGGAGTAGCTTTAGCTTTATGAGGTTCATGTAGATCCTGAGCCTTATAAGGAGAAAAGGATCACGAGTCAAAAGTCTGGACTTCACGGTTGTGTAGTAAATGTTTTTTCTTTTGTTTTGGTTGGTTCAAAAGAAGTTACAACCATTGTGTAGTATTACAATTGATTCTATGCTATGAAAAGGGGAGGGGAATGGACCTATTGGAAAAGAAGTTAATCTATTGGAAGATTCGAATGGAGCTAAATAACCTTCTGTCATTCTCCAGAAAATTCGACCCCTTGACTTGAGCCCAAGTGGCCAACTGAGTTGTGTAGTAAATGCTGTTATAGCTAAATTATATTTAGGAGACAATATATTACCAATTATTGTCTAGGGGAGAGGGAAAGCTGTTAGAGACTTCTTTGCTGCAAGGTTCAGAATTCAAATTCTGTCTATAACAATTAGGGGAGGGAATGACGTGAGCAAAAGTGAAAAAGTAAAGAAAAAAAAATTTGAGCTGTATTTAAAGGACAAATATCAGTTACTATGCAATTCAATCGTGTTTACTAGGTTTTTCTATTATGTGCCTTAAGGGTGCATGCAATTTTATGGTGCAAGGTAAAAGCAGAAATTTACGAAGTTTTTTGGTTTTCTTATTTTGTGACTTTAGAGCACACCATAATTGCACTGAAAAAAAAATGGTGGATCACTTTGAACATTCCAAACCCATCCCAAAAATTGCCTACTTTCTCGCAAAAAATAATTTATCACCTAACATAATACTTACATTTTTCATGTACTCTAAGAACACATAATTGATTAACCTATTTTATTAATGTAATTATTACATATTTTTAACTTATGATTTTTTATTTCTTAATTATTATTTATCTTTTCTTTTTTTGGTTCCCCTATCAGGTCGGAGTTTATAAAAGTTTAGTCTCCGAATTTGCCGTTTTTGACCGGTGGTTTGCGTCGGTGCCGGCATCAACCCAGCCAAACCGGTTATATGTCCACTCGGCAACTTCTCATGGTGCCACGTCAAACATAGCCGCCCTACTAGCCAAAGGTTATCCACAGCGGACAATCTTCGACAACCTAAGCGACGCCGGATTGTCCTTCGGAATCTACTTCCAAAATATTCCGGCCACCTTATTTTATCGTACCTGAGAAAAATCAAATACTTAGGTAATTTCACCCTTATGATTTATCCTTCAAAAATGACGCCAAAAATGGAAAGCTGCCGAACTATGTTGTGGTGGAGCAGCGGTACATGGACTCTAAGTTGGAGCCGGCCAATGATGATCATCCATCACATGATGTTTATCAGGGACAGATGTTCGTTAAGGGGGTGTACGAGACGCTGAGAGCCAGCCCGCAGTGGAACCGAACTCTGTTGATTATTACGTATGATGAGCATGGTGGGTTTTTTGATCATGTGGCTACCCCTGTCAGTGGGGTCCCTAGTCCTGATGGGATTGTGGGGCCCGATCCTTTCTTTTTCAAGTTTGATAGATTGGGCGTTAGGGTCCCCACAATTATGGCGTCACCATGGATTGAAAAGGGCACTGGTATGTTCACTTTCAATTTCATCATCTCCTCCATTTTTTTGCTTTGAGTAGTATTTTATGACTTTAAAGATTCTGATCAATTTCTTTTTCCTAGTCTAAATGAGAGGACCCTAATTCGGTATCTCTCACTTACACTTCTTCCCTCAAAATCATCCAACCCACATCTTCTTCAATTGTGATTAAAATTCATTTGCTCGAATGTGAGGGCAAACGGTGAGGATATTTTGTGAAAAAATAATTCAAAATGTTATTTACATTTTTGCTAAATGAATTTTTTCGTTCTTCACATTTAAAATATTAACTTTATGTTCCTTACAAATTCAAATTAGCAAAATTTGGTCCCAAATTAAGAGTCCATTTGGATTACCATTTGCTTGAATTTTTGTAGAAAAATATACTGTAACTCTTTGATGTGAAGTGAAAAAGTGATTGAAAAATCTGTTCATGGAAAATGTAAAATTTTTTTGAAAAAAATAAGGGGTCGATCACTTTTTAGTTTGAAAGCATCATGTTACCCATATGCCATTAGTTTTTATGTACAGAAAACTCATATCCCACATTTTAGTGGCAAAAAATAATATGAATTGAGCCATATCTTACTTTTTTTTAGGAAAAAATGAATATGGTTCAAGGTAAAATTCTACTTTTTTTAAGGAAAAAATGAGCAGAGATCGGGTCATTTATTTAACTACAAATGAGATCTAAACTTTTACATCTAATGGGATTGGGCAAGTGGTTGAAGTGGTTGAAAACTTAGGTTTGGATCAAATTTTACTGACTTGATTTTGTAAGGAACGCAAAGTTATCATTTTAAAAGTGAAAAATGAAAAAAAATCATTGGGGGAAAGAAAAAGATATGTTGATTTATATTTTAAAGATTTTCTTTATGTTTAACTCACAAAAATAAAATAAAAATTTGTATTATACTTCAATTTAGTGAATAGATTAACGGAGAGAAAATTATTTATGGATTATATAAAAATTAAGCTTGGTTTGGGACATCTCACTGACTTTGTTATTAGACATAGATTTTTCAAGATAGATGGAAATACTCTAGTTGTCAATGTTGAATATAGCATTTGAATTTTTGCAGCAAATTAATGAGTTCGGATTTTTTTTTTTTTTAAAAAAAACAAGTTCTTAGTTCTTATTAGACACCTAAACGTTATTGCAGAACAATGTCAATATGCCCTCATTAATGAGGATTTTAATATTGTGGTGAACAATAAAACCTTCATAGCACGACAGTTTGACATTTTTTTAAAATCAATTATCACAGAAAGGATCTGAAGTATAAAATATTAATTTTTCATCAAAAAGAAAGTGGTAAGAGTTTTTTTCTTGCCATTGCATGTATACATCATGTGTACAAATACTCTGATGGTACTTGTCAATTATTCATCATCTTATTCAAATTGTTTTCATTCATTGTGATAAGAAAATGCTTATCTTGATGCATTTTACCAAATCTAGAATAAATAAAGGATTATCCAATGCATATGACCAAATATGCATTGTAGCCAAAAAAACTCACGACTAAAAACAAAAAATTAAAAAAAAGGAAACTCACAACTAAATCAGAAAGTATAAAATTTGATATACGAATTTCAAAAGAAAAAAAAAAACTACTAAAGGTGGGTAATCCACTAGGAGTAGACAAATGATTTTGTTTACACAGGAGATGTTGATTGGGATATTTGTGATGATGCAGTCGTCCATAGTCCCAAAGGTTCACCATATAAGACATCAGAATATGAGCACTCTTCCATTTCAGCAACAGTCAAGAAGACATTCAACCTGCCATCTTTTCTAACTAAGAGGGATGAGTGGGCTGGCACCTTTGAATCCATTCTCCAAACCAGGAAAGAACCTAGAACTGATTGCCCAGGTTAGTTGCCTCAATTTTTAAACTTTCAGCGAATAATTGCTTGATTCCTTTGAGTTATTTTATCTTTTTGATGTATACTTGATTCCATTCAGATAAATGAATTCATAAAATATGTTCCAAACAAAATGGTATATACATACACCTTTCTGGGTCGTATGGAGTCCTACTGCACCATTAATTAAGGGCAATGTTTTGAAGTTTAGACCGGCAACTGAATCGAATGAGCTTTCAGTTTACGATTCAGTTGGTTCGACTAATTTAACTTCGGTTCAATTATTTTATAATTATTTTAATATTAAATTACTTAGATTAAATTAATATATAAAAATATAAAAGAAATATTTAATGAAGATCAGTTCAAAGGCCTTTTTTTACCAATTTTGATTAGGTTTGGCCGATTTATTTGACTTCTTGAGTTAAATATAGAATCGGACTGGAGTCATGATTGGTTCGCAGTTCAACCGATCAAACCAGTTGGTCCGATTCGATTATCAGATCACTGATGAAGGGCCAACGATTGGGATTTTCATAGATTTGTTGGATTGGGTTGTTGTACTTTTTACTATGGTGTATATTTATATAATTTTGTTGCTACTCATGGACTTTATTCGTGAATACTAACTTAATATATAAAAACAACTGTATCTGTAAAGCATACACTAAACAGTAATCGAACCCATATCCCACATATCAAAACCAACCATACTTGCCCAATCCCATGCACCTTTTATCAAGAAAGTGCTCCAGTAATATTTCTCAAAAAAAAAAAAACCCACTAAATCGTGGAGGCTTTTGTGCAGAACAACTTCCAACTCCGGTAAGGATAAGGCAAGGGGAGGCGAAAGAAGATGCCAAGCTTACTGAATTTCAGCAAGAGCTAGTGCAACTTGCCGCAGTCCTCAAAGGAGAAGACATTTGGCAACTTACCCACAACAGATTGGGAAAGAAATGACTGTTAAGGAAGGGAAACAATACATGAAAGATGCAGTAAAGAGCTTCTTTGAGGCTGGATTTTCTGCCAAAAGAATGGGCGTTCACGAGGACCAAATTGTGAAAATGAGGCCATCTCTTACAACAAGAAAATCCAAGCCTTCAAGTCAAAACCACCATTAATCAAGCATAGAATTATTGGCTGGTTATAATGTAAATACAGCAATATTTATATACCAAGTTCTGTGTATGTGCTAAAAGTATTCACAATATGTCAAAAAAAGTAATTAGAGTTGCTCTGATTAATAATTTCTGGCTATTACAATTTGGGCCACTGAATTATATACAAAAGTCATCATGACCAAATCAAATTTGGGTTTGTTACAACTGCATCTTTATAGCTTAGAGCAAATATTATACTGCAAAATCCCCAAAAAAAAGAAAAAAAAAAACCATCATCAATGAAATGATCACTACTATTAAGCCTCAGTTTCACCTTCCTCGAGTACAAGAGAAGCTTTTATGCTTGATGGACCTTTTGTTCTGTCATTCAGTTAAATGGGATTTGACTTGCTTTAATCAAATTAATAGTAATACTATTAGTTTGAGGAGAGTAAAAAGTTATCTACCATTAAGGCATTTTTTACCCTTTACTTTTTTTTTTTTTTGTTTTCAGTGTTTCCAATTGTATAAACTTTACTCTCTTTCCAATAATCAAATTTATATTTATGCGTGCTATGTTTTATTATGCCTCATTCTAAAATTTTCTGAGGTTAGCTGCAATTTTCTAACATTCATCTGTCCAATTACAACTTTCACGCTTTATTTTATGTATGCCAAAAGCATGGAATTGAAATAACTCACTAAGAACGCTTTTTAAAAGATTACGCGATACGATTAGATCGAATAAACCCTTCTGGAATAAATATTCAGCGGCTTGTGAACCTTCAGTACTGTTGTATTCAATGTTTGTTCAATTACTCTTTTACCTGCAAATGCAATATAGGCGTTGGATTCGGCAATAATGATATCACCAACATAACAGGTACTGTTGTATTCAATGTTTGTTCAATTACTCTTTTACCTGCAAATGCAATATAAGCGTTGGATTCGGCAATAATGATATCACCCAACATAACAAAACTGGCTGTTACTCCGCCAGTAGTAAGAGATGTAAGGATTGAGACATAAAATAACTTTTTATTTGATTTTGGTGTGTTTGGATTGTAAGTTATTTGAAATATTTTTACTGTAGCACTTTTTGTGATATGATGTATGTGAGATAAAAAAGTAATTGAGAAGATAAAAAGGTGTATTGAAAATTGTAATGGTGATGTCAGCAAATATATTTGGCCAAATAATTGGCTGTCCAAACACATCTAAAGCAGACGAAATTTTAGCCATTTCCATCAAGCTCAAACTTCCTTCTTGCATGCCCCCCCCCCCGGCCCGGGGAAAGCACAATCTAGTCCTCAGTTCCTGCAATTCTTTCATCTGTCCAATTATAAGTTTCAAGCTTTATCTTACATGCCATGTTCAAGAAAATCTCAACACACTGGCCCAGCATAATTCCTTCTTCAGAAGAATCAAATCTACTCCTAGTTCCTGTGGTAGCATGGAGGATCCGGGGCTTTCAAATTAGTAAAGGACAAATCACAACTTTTTACTAGAAAATGTGGTTTCCTGGCCTTGGAATTAAAATCCAGTCCAAAAAAGTTGAAGAAGAATTATAAAAGGATCTTAAATGAGACATCGTTACATTTTTCTCCTTATAGTGTATTCTTTCCTGTTCACCTCTACTTGTTTGTCCTCAGTAGGAGTCTTGAGGACAGCCGACAGTGTGGCACTCTACTTCGTGTGGATCTTGACTGTATACAAGAGACTGTTTAAGCCTTCTACAACAGTCTGTCAAATATCTACTCCACATCCCATCCTGGAATATTGTCAGTTGCTTCATTCACCATTTTCACAAGTCTTACCTGTAGAAATACAAAAAAATGATGAGGTGCAAATTAATCAATTTGCTCATCAGTGCATGAACTCTTGAATGGCTATGGAGAGCATCTAACTTTGCAGCAAAAATACTTGTATTTTTTAATTTATTTTGCCGCTCGATACCTAAGTGTACACAAACATGTACACACGTGAGAGAGAGAGAGAGAGAGCATAAAAAATTGGTCTTTGTGTTTTTATTCTGTGCTTTTGTTGGAGAGGTACTTATAAGTTCTATGAAGGGGCCCCTAGGCATCTTCTTGTAATTTCACCTAATTTGATATCCAAGTAGGTATAATATAAGCTTCAATAGTGGAATCAATATTTACTCTCTTAACCAGCATGTACAGGAATTCAAGAAATTTTAGCTGCATATTGAAGTCTAATCATTCAGTCTGATTTCCGGATGGGTTTCATGAACCTCAAGTTTGGCAGATCAATTGACTCAATCTTTGGCTACATCTCCATTCAGTTTACAAGGAGCATGAAGAGTTCAGAATGAAAGAGAGGAAAAGAGTAAGAGAATATCTGAAGAAATGGAGGAATAGAAGGAGCACATTTACAGAGATAATGACATTGAGAGCAATTTAAGGAACTCATATGGGTTCATAACTTTTTAAGTAACCTTATACGTAGCAAAGCAGCAATAAAAAGGTGCCCTTCCGCTTTCTTCATCACAGCATATGTTGAATAGAGACCAAAAAGGACACATAATTAAATTCCTATTGATTTCAGAGGAGCTACTTAAAATCATTGTTGGCTACAATAAACTGGTGTCAGAAGTTGTACATACCACACTATCAGGAACCCCAGGGGGGGTAAAGGAAGATTTCTAGGTGGTGGACCACGAAGATAAGACCTCTTGTCAAATCTCCATTCCCCAATCTTTCCATATGTCAGTTCTCCCTGTTTTACGACAAACAACAAGTCAGTAAATCATACAAATTTAGATTCTTTGGGTAACACAAATGGAGAGAGAAGCACGATGAACTCTAGAGACTATGACTTTCAAGCTGATACAACTTCAAGAATAACGAGGTACTGCACAAACAGACTGCAATTTACCTTCATGTTATAATCACATCCATATGTATAATGTATTATGAACTTCTTGCCAACTTCCAAATCCCATGGAGGCTGTGAGTGTTTTAGTCACATGTTAAGACAAGTAAGGAGAAATAGATAGTATAGCATCTCTAAAAGGTTTTTGGACCTGCAACATAAAGTCTTTACGCGCAGAATGTGTCGCACATCATGTAAAGCAGACGCTACTGCATAGGCATACCTAAAGAAAATAAAGGCAAACATTTTAAAAGCCATACTAGCAACCAGATAATTAATAACCACTCAGCAATTGCGTATAACAAATTCTACAACTCCCTAGGCACAACTACATTTCTAAAACCCAGCCAAAAGCTTTATCAGTCTCTGGGTCATCTTTCATCCGCAAAGACATATTCATCCAAGTAGGAGCAATTTTCCCAGAAGTAACTGTCACAAGATATTAGTTAAGGCTTGGAAAAAGCCTATCCAACGAGGCAATATAAGCTTTTCAGCTCAAAAACATAGTATGAAATTAGATATGATGATACATTATTTCATCCGTTGCTTCCACAAGATCAATATATCAAGCTATGGCATGTTAGCTTTTTCTTACTACAGAGTCAGTGGTAGAAACCAAGAGGATGCAAGACACCACTCGTATTGCAATATAAACCATGGGGGCATGTCATAAAGAAATCTGGTCTGAATTTAATCTCAAAACATGTCATAAAGAAATCCGGTCTGAATTTAGTCTCAAAACACTTAGGATACCGTAACTAAATGTGGTAAAAAAAAATGCTTCACTTTGTCTGAATCTTCTCAATATAACAAGTATAATTAGCATATGTGCCAGTTAATGCTATCACAAACTTACAATTTTGTCACTAGCACAAACATTTCATCACAGATAAAGTCAACATGCTAAGCCACCTCCCATCCCAAAAACTAGGAAAAAAAATTGAGAGCCACTAATCAAACCCACTTCCACTGAAATCCACCCAGATCAAATTAAAAATGAATTTTTTGACTAGACAAGAAAATTTCTTAAAATGTAAACACAACATCTCTATCTAAACATTATCTTATCAAAAATTTTTACACCTATGAAAAGTCAAATGATCATCATTTTATTAAGTACCACAATTAATGCCAACAAAATGGGGGAAGAAAAGGATTCAAGACATCTCCACTGATACAATTAATGAGGGGGCAATAAATTTATACCATACTTAATACAAAATTAAGAAAAAGAGTCATCAGATCCCATAAAAGAAAAAGATATAACCGAGAATTGAACTGTACAAAAATTTAAGAAAATAAACACTAGATTGAAGTCTGAGTCCATCTTATGTATTTAGTGTGATGACAGGGCAAAGAGAATAAAAAAACCGCAGTGAGGCGAAAGAGATATATCTGCCATGAGGTGTAATAAATTCATGCTACACATTAATACTAAAGTAAGCTTAAGAAAAAATGAGATAAAGAGTCTTAAAATCTCGTAAAACAAAAATGGAATTCAGTTGATGTCTCCAAGAAAAGAAAAACAAGATCACAGTTTGAGTTTGTTGACCAAAAATGGTCACATAGTGTGATGAGAAAAACAAAAAGGAGTCTACCATGAGGTGTCAAAAAATGTCTGCCAGAATTACTATGATAAAAAAACCCAGTGTAGAGCCAAAATCCCAAAGGATTAGCAAATTGGTCAAGCAAAAGAAAGAAGGGTTATTAGCATAGTAGATTCATCTTCCAAAACTTTAACTAAACTTAAATTTTTAACTCTACTCCAGCTGTATTTAACTCCCACATAAGGCTCAGTGCTTGCTTGTATGCGTTATCACATACTCTTAACACTTCTAGTCACCAAAATTGATCGACTTAAAAAGCTTAATGGGTTGTCAAGCATCCATCTTTTTTGAAACCATGATGTGTCAGGTTCTTTTATGAATAGAGTAGCGAAACCAAGAAAGTGGTTGCATTGAAACATCCAAGATATACGTAGTCTATCTAGGAGTTCCTGAGCACGTAAATGCATAAGTTGCTAGCACATCATTTTCAGCAGAAATTGAATCTTCATAATATACAGTGTAAAGACAGATCAAACCTTATTAATATCACAGGAGAATTTCCAATCGGATCAACATTAGTCACAGGACCCTTTTCCTGTGGATAATACTTCCTAATGATTTTCTCATTATCTGCTGGTTTGATGTAGAAGAAAGGAATGCAGCAGGATGGCCACCATGGGCCAAATTTGGCAAAGGATTTGCAAATATGTGATCAGGTTCTGCCATTAGAATATATCTGCACCAGACAAGCATGGGCTAGGACTCAGAACAGAATATAACAAGCAC